CCTGCGGCATCGATGCAGGAATATACACTAAAAGTACGCGATGCGAGGGAACTACGTGACGTAAAGTGATTCGTAATGAGCGCGTTTGAAATTCACACTTGAGAAACACCCGAATTTATGCGGATACGTGTGCAGCTCACTTGTTAGTGTCAGGTGATTTTCAGACCCAGGGGAATATTCTTAGCGTTTGGCTTTCCACTCACCCCATTGAGTGCGCGAAAGTTCACGGTCACGCTGACGTCTGCATTTGTTACAGCGCAATGCTCTATAAGAGCACCCGTCAACCGATCCATTAAGCTGGAAGGGGCTGTTGCGCTTTCCAGATCCTTTCGGAAGTGAAAAGCGAGGAAGAGATCCTTTTCCGAGGGGGAACTGCCCTATGGAGACCCAGTTGGAGGCCACCTGGGCTGAAGGGCTAACCCTGGGGCGCGAGAGCCCTCACTGCGTCTACCTTGGCTCTACGGAAACTTAAATGTCCCTTTATTTACAATATGTGTTTACTTTTGAAAAATGTTTCAATACCATATCCTCACTCTGTCTTCTTTGTAACTGTTTTCTTTCTCATGATTTCTCTTAATTTTAATATACCTCATCTCTGTTAATTTTGTTTCTTGTTTTCCCTCCTTGCATCTGAAATATTTTTATTTTTAATCTCTTGAGGTGAAATGTTTCATCTCATTGTATATTTAGTTCACTCTGTCTCGCCTTCCGTTGCTCATACTTGAAATGAGTGGTTTTGATGGCTTGGTGATTGGGGCTTATGATATTGATACGATGTGAATGGTAATGAAGTGATGGTGGAATAAGAGGCAGGGAAAACCGTATATCCCCGAGAAAATCTGTTGCAAATTCCCTTTCTACTCCACAATCTGCATGGGTCGACCGGGATTTGAACCTCGGTTCCGAGACGGTGTACGATTTGAACACAATACAACAAGTCACCGAGCGAAGTGGCTCAGACTTCACATTCGGGAGGCCCGTGTTCAATCCCAGTGGCGGCCATTCTGACCAATAGTTTCGTTGATTCCCTCGGGCATCGAGGCGAATGCTGGGATGGTTCTACTGAAAGGCCACGACCTAGACGATTTCCTTGACTACGTGAAGTCAGGAAGGTTATGCGAATTCGAGTCATCGCGGGTTCCTGGTTGGGTGACCGACTAGGCACCCCGGGATTTAACGGCGCCGAAGGCAATTGCCCTTTACGGGACATGGAAAATGTCTAAATACAAATAAAAAATACAACAGGTCACCTTAACTATAATGTTTTCCAGGGCTGTGGAACCAAAGTAGCAACCCCGCCGCACAGTGGAAATTTTGAAGTTCCGAGGAGCATTTGATTACGAAAGTGAAAAGGGCTCTTCTGTGACTGCAGTGATGGTGCGTGTCCCCGACGCTTGAACGGCTGCGTTTGCGTGGCCCCATTCAAACAGACGGGAGGGATGAAAATCGGCTTGGACGCTTGCTCTCTTCCTCGTAGAACTTCCGTTGCGCCATCGGGGCTTTGGAAGACCTGCAAGGAAGCGGGGCACGCAAGAGCCATTGGCTTCCGCGTACGATGCTCCACTGTCTCTGATAATTGCAGGATTGTGCGGGAATGCGTTTCTGAGAAATTTGGAATTGATAGAAGCCATACATACTCTTACTTCATTCTCACACTCAATAAGTTATTAGTGAGAAATATTTTCGTGGTAGTTGTACATAATATCTTACGGGAAATTCGCCTGAGCTCTTTGAAATTATTGAAGGCCAGAGAAAGGGGGGTATTAACTTGTGACATTTAACTGCTTTTTAAAAGAGTATAACAGTCTTTAGAGCGACTCATTTTAAAATGGTTCTGTTGAGTACATTTTATTACGAAAGTATATAAAAATGTTACCATTCGTCAACCTTTGTTAATTATGACATGAACTCATGACACTTTCACAATAATATGATTATTTATATATTGTGACAGAACTTCCATTTTTGTTTGATAATGTCACATATTATTTCCTTTCTGCTTTTGGAAATGTAAATTAATGTCTGTTGGGGACTAGGGTTTCTTTTGAAGGGGGATCACCTTGATAATGCTATTGGTATATTTGACAATCCTTGGTTTTGTTAGTAATACAAAAATATAATTTATTATACATGGTAAAGCAATAAATAAAAATTTGAACATAGAACATGAACATATTATATGACCCAAAGCTTGGTTACTTGCAATCTTTTTTGTCTTACCTCCAATAATGAAAGATCATTATTATCATGCCTCTATTATTCTCCTAGTCTGTTTATTAACATTCACCATTGTGTTTTATACGTCTATTGATATATCTCTGTACTGTACACCATGGCCACATATCACATTTGTATGAATTTGTAATTAATGAAAATTTACTGTTTGAGAAACAAAAATATTGCTACTTAACGCGGCAAATATTCTTATCTTCCCATCCTCATTCCCCTCCCTCCGAACCCTAATCATCCTTGTAATCACTCCATGAATGGAAATATAAACAAAATCTGACTCTGAATAGCTTTACTCCTACTTCGCTTCACAATCTGCATCCGCCGCCATACTGCTAACATTGCCTTCTAACAAGTTCTCTCGTTCTCCCCTCCGCTCGGTCGGTCACCTTGATTCCCCTTCTCGTGGCGGATTCGTCCATTCTGCCGTTCGTTTGGACCGCGCCTATTATGGACGGATATTTAATTTTATTCTTTTCGCAGAAAATGTGTTTCTTCGAAACTTTTTAATGTGATAATTTAGATTTTTGGGATGCATCGTATATCTATCTATATATCATACTTTTGTTCCACTGTTTGGCCTCCCTCATGTTTTATAACTTTCATTGACTTTAATTTTCTGTAATAAATCGATTATTCCACTATTTAACTCGTCACTGTCGTGTGTATATATTTTATGCTTACAAATTTGTTCAGTAGAGTCCACGCGTATCATTATGATACACAAGTTCCTCCGTTCATGTATAACTTTTATGCAAGTTTTTTGCTTTTCCAAGTAGCGCTGTGCTTGTGTATAGTTTGTAGATGGCACCACAGTGAAAGTCAGTTTTACACTAACTTGTCCTTACGCTAACATGCACCACACAACCATATATGTCGGGAGATCGGTCAGGAGCTTAGAGCTCGTCCCGGCTGAGGCGGTGCCCCGCTGATGTTATTTTCTATGCACATCAAAAATGTATGTACACATTGCAAATCAGAATTATATAGTACATGGAGGAGCTTGATTTTTATAGATCCCTGCGTAGGCCGTGTGTATAACTATGATACACATCTTCCAAAGTATGCATGGTCTACCACAAAACAAATTTCAATATATATGTAGCAATTAAAGTGCAAAGTGGACTTTTTTCTTATTTTATGCGCTTCTGGGCAGTGAGCAAGTAACTGGACTAGGAAATGCAGTTTCTCGTATATGGCTGGGGAACAGCAGGTGTCTCACCGATAAACATTCGGTGGCGGATAAGAAAAACGTATTTATGCTTCGCGGCAAGTGCTTGCTGCGGCAAATCATCCGTTCGCCTGCACGTGGCCTCGGTGATTCAGGCTTTGACAAAACCAAGCTTCCGCGTCCCTGCGTCCTCGCTTTATTTTTTTATTATTATTTTTTTGTTTTTTTCGCAAATCAGCGATCATGGGCCACGCGATATGTGCATCCCACCGGGACCCAGTCATGATTATTGGGGTAGGCGCACGTAACTATTTTATTGGGGGTATCAGCTTTTAATGCTGATACCATTTTTACATTCCAAGGTTGTGAGCCCTGGGGGATGGGGTGAAATGATGATATGATAAAACGATAAAATAGACGCATACAAAATATAGAGCACACTTATTATGATCATTATTATAATTTTATTATTATTATTATTATTATTATTATTATTATTATTATAGGGTGATGATAAGTGGTGAAAGCACTAGGATGATGGTGGGAAGTGGTAGATGGGGTAGTGGGAGGTGGGAGATGTTCGTGGGATTTACGAAACCATCCCAGTGTTCGGCTTATGACCAAGGGAAACCGCGAAAAACCCCAGTCCGAATGGCCAGCCCGAGGATCAAACACGGACCTCCCGATTGCGATTCCTGTGCGTTATCCACTGAGCTACTTGGCTAGGTTATTATTATTATTATTATTATTATTATTATTATTATTATTATTTTCGTAATATTGAATTTTTATGTTGTGGAGCTCGGCGTATGATCGCTTCCTTTGCTGTGCCCAAAAGACCGGTATACATTGGGTAGGGCAAGCACTCAATGTCTTGCGCTGGGCAAGCAGCCAGCATTCCGTCGGGATCCGAAGAGAGATCGCTGGCTGTTTGAGAATGTTGACTGTTTAAAGCCGCTGGTAGTTTTCACTACGTGGTGAATGCGGGGTTGGCTTTTCATAACAGCCCCTATCCAATCTGACCCATTACTCCCATACACTCATTTATCTCTCTCTTTCATTCGCTCTTCGGGAATCATTTGTTTAGTGCAAAGCAACGGCAAGCCATCATTATTGAGATCTGTCCAGGGTTCTGTCCTTAGATGTTCTCGCCTACAGGCAGGGTTACCCACTTTCCATTTGAGGAAATTCATTGCCATCATCCTCTTCAGTTTTATTACATTATTGCAATGCGACTTTGTAATAAAATACCTCGTATACTAACGGTATATTGAAGGTGTATAAATTTGTTTTGTAATGTTTAGATTTTCGTTATTTTTAAAGTTTGGTTTAGCCTTAGGATCCGTATTGATTTTCACCATTTTTTAGACAAAGGATTCAGTTATTTTATTCAAGAATATGCAAAAATATATTTCATAGCGTTGTTGAATAATAAACCAAATAAGGACATTTCCCTTTAAATATATAAAATTCACTTTTAGATTTAAAAAAGTAGTAACACTGTATTGGGAATAATTAACGTATTGTAGAAGAGTTACAAATTTGTGTATCTTTTATTGTGAAAGATTGTTATTAAACAACAATATTTTATTTGTTTCAGGTAAACTTCTGCACTTCTTTATTTGGAAACATCGGATATCAAAACCATTCTGAGGGGCCTGCAATGGTATGTCCTTATTGAAGATTGAGCGAATCCTCACATTTTAGGAAACAAATCTTGCGTTGCTTTTTATGTAAAGAAAGATTTAGTTTCTTATCGTGGGAGATATCGAAAAGGAATATTACTCCCCCCTCCCTTTTTGAAGGCACAAGTCGAAAATCAATTCTCACTGCTAATTTAGCGCTCGCGGCCGCTGCGGTGATTGCCTCCGTCTCGTGGGGATGTTTCCTGCGAAGCGCCGGATCCGTCAGCCAGCGGAGATAAACCGGTTTATTATCCGGATCATATCTCTGGCGGACGCCCCTGGCAGGAAATGAGCCAACAAACATGGCGCAATTAACCGCCGATGAGGCAATGAAGGAAAGGAAGACGAAGGCTAGGAGAGAGCAAGGGAACGGGAGAGGAAGAAATGCACTCGGTTCGGTCACGTGAACAGTTATTTTGACACTATTCTTACCAAATTGTATTAGAAGGTGTGGTCAGTGAGTAACTTACAAAAATAATTCATAATATATCATTTAACGAACGTTGTATATCTTAAGCTGGAGATGTGGTTATTGTTTCTAGATTTCCGGATTTCGTCATGCTTGTCCCGTCAAGAAAACTTTGAAAAACTGGACAAACATTGTGTCAAATTTTATTAAAAAGTGAGATAAAAATATTTAAAAGATTTCCTGGTTTTCTTTCGAACACATTTGGCAACCCAATCTGTGGTACATTGTATTATTTTAGCGTTCCAAGATCAAAGAATGTTTGCATGAAAACAATTCGTTTATGATTCTAGATTTCTAGGAAATTGCACTTGAAAACGTTTTTCAAAGAAAGACTATTTCCATGAATTGTTCTTCATGTAATATTGATCGATTCCTAGTTTAGCAATACGGCATGGTATGTATTGTCTCAAAACTTTCAAACGTTAAAAGAAGAATTAAGTAACATTCACATTTTATCAAAAATAATACATCCTCTTGTGCAAAACATGCAATTGAAATCACACATGGTTTTGATTTTAGTAAATCTCGTATCGTTGTTAAAACATACATTATAAAAACATTATAAAATAAAAAAGTTATGTTAATGTCATAATCTGTGTTTATAACTATATTATTAAATGATATAGTAGGTAAATTATAAATATACGTGTTTTAATAGTTGACTGAAAAAAATGGATTTAGTCGAGTGTAATTTTTTGCTGAATATTCCATCATAGTTATTTTTTATTTTATGTTTGTTTTTTATACAAGAAATATGATACTGATTCAATTCGAAATATGATACTCAATAATTCGATCAATGTAAATGTGTTATTGTGAGGTACTACTGGAGCCCTGGGGCACACATTTCCGACGTCTCGCTTCAGAGGATGTAAGGGCAAGTTTTGATAGAGGTTTTAGAATTTTGGGGTAATATTTAGAATGTGGAGTGTGATAATGGTTGAGAGAGTGTGGTATCTGCTGGTAAGCCTTCTACATACTACCAAAAATATACGAAGTACAATTGTAGGTACAATGAAATTAGGTTAATGGCCCTGCGGCTTTAATTTAATTGTTCCATTAGATTGAATTGATTCCATAATTAGCAAATGACATTAACACACATTATTAACTAATAATATGTGTTGCATAATTGTATGGTTACGTTGCAAATTCTATTGGTCCTTAACAAAACATGAACCTCAATACCTCGTAATAGTTTATATCTGCTAATTCTCATGTTTTATCTCATTTAATATCATGTAAAAGAACTAAATTTCCTATTAACGATTAATATTAATTTTTAATTATTAAAACAAGATCGATTTAGAATTTTGAAAAAGTGCAACGGGTAAACTGTTCCAATCTCGGATCTTTCTGTTTACAATGAAATTTTTCTGTCATTTTATTCGTGATTCTTTTACATAATTTTAATTTGCGGTCATTTTTGCTTAAAAATTAGGCCATTTCTTGACTCTGATTTTCTTCTCATGTTTGCCACCCACCACACCTACGAAGTTTTAGTATTAAGGTTTCCCCACCTTTTGTCTTTTCCCCCCACGAAAAATATATTAAAATATTTAATATATATCTGTTCAACGCACGCAACTGTAACGCAGGGGTCTGAATGCATGGAGTCGAACGGTTTTGGGGGCCGTCAAATACCATAAAAACGGTCTGCTTGGCGATAAACGAAGTTCCGATAACGAGTTCCCCAACACTAGTTGAAGCTTCTGGCATTTCGTTATCTCCTGGTCGACGAATCGTGGTAAGTGATTGACAGCGTGTATGAAGAGGGATATAACGTTCACTCCGCAATCGAGTGCTTGTCGGAAACGCATCGGCTCACACGAGACGTCTCCGCGTTCCAAATGGCCAAGAAGCCCTGTGGATGGAACAAAGTAGTCCAACCGGCATTTCATTATTTGGTGAAACATAATTGGCTGTAGCCTCAATTAGCTCTACAAGTTTTTATGTTGTTTCTTATAGTATTGCTTTGCGAAAACTTTAAATTTGGCTTTGACCCTAACAGCCATTTTGCCTGTGCAAACATTGCGAGATATTGTACATCAGGAAAATGTTCGGAAATAAAATATTTTCTAAAACATGTTTAATTAATGCTCGTAATAAGTAATTATAGTTCAATAATGATTATTTTATGTTAAAGGTTAATTGATTCTTATTGTATTTTGTTATCTTGTTCAAACATTGCCACATAGTAGTTGATTTATTAATTAAATTGTCTAATTCCCCATTATTTTTCTCTTCGCGTGCAAACGCCGAGGCGTGCCATTTGATACGTCAAACTGGTAGACTGGAATTTCCCGTAATGACGTTAACCTAAATTATTCTCGATTAATTGTGTCAATTGAAGTTCGCGCGAAGGTTGATGAAATTAGCTCCGTGTACCAGCGAGTGCTGTGACATCGAAAACGGTGCAGTGAATTTAAAATCTCTCATGTAGTCAGCCAACTGAAAATTAGTGTCGTGGTAAAGAGAGGAATGGCAATGGCACAGTCGTTTTATTAAATATTTAGTTCTCAATATATCGTTTCGTTGATACTCAATACATATATCTATAAATATATTAAAATACGAGTGATATATCGAAAACATTTCCCATTACTTCTTTAACTTTATTTAATATATTAAATAAGTTATGTAATAAAATACATTGCGAAACAAAGATTTATATAATTTTCACCATTCCTGACATTTTGTTGGACGCAATTACGCTCGGAGAATATATTCCTCAATCGTAAGGAAATCCAAATTATGTCCACGTTAGTGAGTAACAATTGATTTTAATAATTAAATTTGTTCAAAGAATTTGTTGCCCCGACCGGGATTCGAACTCGGGCCTTCTGGTTTACACTGAGCTGCTGGGCGAAAACTAGAAGGTCCGGGTTCGAATCCCGGTCGAGGCAACCACTTCTCTGAACAAATTTAATTATTAAAACAATGATTTTTTAAATATGAAAAATAGCAATTTCACTTCGCAGTAAAAAAAAATATCGATCCACTTTCCAACTAAAATATGAGATGTTTAAAGCCACTTTTGTTGGGCGGATTGCTTAGTCATGCTAGTTCATATTCCAATTACTTGTATATAATACCCAATTTCGAATTCGGAAATTTCCAATTCTCTGAGCACGTATTTAACCTGCATAGCACTCTTAGAACTATTCTAGTCAATCCGCTTCGCTTCAGAGTATCTGGTAATTTCAAAAGCTGACTTAATGATCTATTATAGAAGATAATTATCGCTTAGGTATACGTCGGAAACGAATGGCAGACAACTGGAGTCACGTTATTTCCATCTTCCCATTTCAAACTCATTTCGGAATATTGAAAACAATATTCAGATATACACGTTTTGGTAGATAATCATACACGACATCACGTGTACAGAAGAATGAATAATTTATTTAAATTGCCCTCGCTAACCTTCAGGTAAGGTTCCGAGCTTCGTGACTAGATTTATTTCGCACTGCTGAAGCATCCCTAATCTATTTGTGGACGTGAAGACTTATTTTTACGTAGTTGTTTTTATGCGCCAATAGCCCTTTTATTTCCGTTTGCTGGCCCAGTAGCCCGGAGACTTCAATTTACTCTACTCCGATCTAATACCGGAAATTAATGATGATTTAAATAAATACATTTTCTAACTGAGAACTACTGTGTTGTAAAAAGATAATTGAGTGCTCTTTTTTGAAAACTTTCTGGCAGTAAAAGAAAGGGCTCGTTCGGCGTATAAAAAGAAAGAGTACTTCTTGAACGATTTATTCTATCATAAAATTGTAGATTACTAACACGAATGTAATCTAAAGTGTCCCTACGGTATGGCACACATGGCCCGTTCCATAGGCGCCACTCCCAGGAACTTTATGGAGGGTATGCCCGCTAAATCAAATAACCCTAATTTGAAGCATCTGGACAGGGCCGTAAATTCTATGGGTGCCATGGGTGCCTGAATACCTGGATACGCCTCTAAGCTCACGCCCAGCAGGGGTGAGGATAGGACACGGAAGAGGAAGGAAAGGTCGCTCGCGCTCCGTGGCCCGTTTGCTAGGGTACTTCTCCGGCATTCACCTGGTGTCGATCGGAGAAACCGAGGAAAACTACCGATCAGAGCAGTCGGCCGCTAGAACTCCTTTCCAGACAGAGGCTGAATTCGACGGAGCTATGTAGCTAGTGTCGAAAATCTTGCCATGGTCGGAACACGTACCTTAGGACCTCCCGGATAGAGACTCTACGTTGATGGCTTGATCCACCTAATGCACTCATTGATTTTAATGCGTTACATTATAAAATAGATTGACGAGTTATTTTGTAGCTAAGGTCCTTTTCGATTTGAATTAACTCACAAATTCATATATTCATCTAATTTTCTTTGTTGCATTGTTTGACAGAATCCATGTTTGTCCTGGGAGTTGTTCACGTAAGGATATGAGTAATCACAATTGCTTCGCGTTATTCTTGAAATAAATAATTTCACTTAACCTCATCTCACGTTACGTTACTCCTCTGAGA